CCCCGCCCCGGGGAGCAGCATCAGCAAAGAGCACAGTTTGGGGCCTGCTTGGGGAGGCCAGGCGAGCAGCTGCTAAGGAAGGAGCCCTCCCAAGCCAAGCTCTGGGTCTAATGTGGTGGATGGTACAGTCCCCCCGACCCTGAAAGGGTTTGGGGACCTTGGGCGCACCCCTCTCCTCCCCAGGAAGTTCTGGCAGCCCCCAGCCCAGCCCACCTCCTCCTCCTACCTTTCCAAAGGTCTGCTGCTGTTGAAGGTACAGGAAGCCCTGCTTCACCGCCACGTCTTCCATCCTCCCACCATGGCGGGTCCTACCCTGCAGCTCGCTCCTTCCACTCCCGCCCTCTTTCTCTCCTCTCTGCCCTGTGTGTTCCCCCTTCTCTCAAGTTCATTTCCTCTCTGCCTAGAGTTCTCTGCACTATTCTAGTCTGCTTGATGACGACAGGCTGATAAGCCCTGTGGTTTCTTGCTCTGTGTGTGTTTTTTCTTTTTGATGAGTGAGTTTCACACTCAAGCTTCCTGCATTTTCAGTCAGTGAGAGATAATTTCCACACAGCCCACTTCCAACTCTCTGGGGAGCAACAACTCGAGTCCAAAAGCTGGCGTGGGATGTCACCAACGGAGAGTGGCTGACCCCCGGGGAACAAAGAGACCCAGAAACCAACTCTGACAGTAAAGCCAATAGCAAAGGCCCCACACTCAAACTGGTGTTCCAGATGGCAGGCTGGAAGAGAACCTAGAAATCAACCAGCCCAAGCCCTAGATTAAAAATGAGAGCCCTGGCCGGGTTGGCTCAATGGATAGAATCATCGGCCCTACCGACTAAAGGGTCCCGGGTTCAATTCCAGTCAAGGGCAGGTGCCGGGGTTGCAGGCTCGATCTCCAGTAGGGGGTATGCAGAAGGCAGCCAATCAATGATTCTCTCTCATCATTGATATTTCTCTCTCTCTCTCTCCCTCTCCCTATCTCTCTGAAATCAATAAAAATATTTTTAAATAAATAAAAATGAGGAGACAGGTTCAGGAAGGTCGGGGGGACATGTTCAAGGCCACCAAACCAGAACCCAAGCCTCTCGACTCCGTGAGAGCTGAGTCTCACACACCACCAGCCCACCAGGCACATGAGCTCATCCC